AAATTACAAAATTTCACATTTATTTCTAGAGCTCCACACATCAAGCAAAAATCATCTCCATTAAGGCAATGGCTCAACAGAATCTGTGAAAATGGTCCACTGTAATCCGTCTATAGGTCTTTAGAAAATGGCTCACAAGTCACAAACCATCATCGACGATCCTGTGGGAGCAAGTAAGCAATTTAACAAATTCAGAAATAAAGGAGATAAAGTTCGAAATTACATGCAATTAAACCTAAAGGTGACAGTCTAGTTAGCATAGTTATCAATACCGGCAGCATCCTAGCATAGGCAATTGTGAAATATGTGAAAGGCTTATACAGTGCATCCACAGATCCAGCAGATATTACATAAGAGCTTCATGTAGAAATGTAAAACAGCTTATATGTTGCACCCTAAAGCTAATAAAAGTTAACCCAGGATTATAACATGAACAGATATGCATCAGAAAAATCACAAGCCCTGACACAGACATTGTTAAAGTGTTGCCTTATCTAGAGCATTCTATTCATTCAATCAATATCTTAAATTCCTGCATTCAATATGTCCTTTACTTGTGATATGAGATGAACTAAAACTAAACACCAACCTGCCTTAACCATCATTATAACAAACTAACCCTCTGGCCCTTCCAAGATAATTTGCTAGACCACCCCTCGCATATTAAACAACCATCTGCTATTTGCTGAATACAGGAAAGTGAATACCGTGTTAAAACAGAAAATTGAATAGCAATGAAAGACATAGACATAGCATTCAAAGTGGCTCTAAAGATTCAAATTTACTAAGATAAGCTGGCACAAGAATTTCATGATTTTACAATACCAAACATTTAAGAATTCAAAAGTTGAAAAAGATTCTAAGATAAGTCGTTGAAAAAGATTCTAAGATAAGTTGAAGAAAAAGAGGGATAGTTCTAAAATAGAAGGACAATCACTCCAACATTTAAGAATTAAAAAGTTATGGAAAAACCATTCAACATACATCAAATATGGGCAAGAACTCATAGCCACATTCCAATTGGTTCAATCAAGAGTGAAATACCATTCCATCCCCATTTACCTTTCAGGAAACTAATCAGTTAAGCCTTAACATGCACTAGGCACACCTAGACACGTAAGGGGTCTTGTAGGCAAGAGGCAATGCACAAGGGCAAAGCACAGGCACACACTAATATAAGGCACAAAAGGTGCAAGGGGACTGCACCTTTTCATTTGAGGCACACCTGATGGCCTCAGAATGCTGTAGACATAATATGCAATGACTAATATTCTAGAAATAGAAATAAAGTCCATACAATGAACATAACTCACAGAAAATAACTTTACTCGCTCTTAAATCGAGAAATAACCACTTTTCTTGAACTAAGCCAAGGCAGCAAGGCGAATACATATAATCAAAGCAATTTCTAATGGCATACTATAGAATAAGAGAGCTAAAATATATTACTTTCGGTAGTGAATTAAAAAGAGATCTTCATATTCCAGAGGAAAAAGGAAACAAATATAACGTCACAAAGATCAAATGATGCAAATATCATCTACCCACTCCAAGAAATGTTAAGAGTTTTGTCCAGGGCATCTTGCTGCAACTAAGCAGACTAAGTGATGTCTTGCCCCAAAATTAAAACCCTTTGGCTGAGTGGTTGTTGTAGCATAACTGTAAGTGTTGAATCCACAGGAAGTTATATTAAATCAACAAAAAGAGTTCTCACAATAAAAAATTAAATTTGTTTTACACTGACCAGGGGTTGGAACCTGATCACAGGGTGTGGAATCCCTCATGCTACTGTCCATCCTTTTGCATTGACCAGGGGTTGGAACCTGAAAACAGGTTCCAACTCCTCATTAATACTTCAACTTCATGAACTTTGCTCCTTAATCAAAAATGGAGAAAATCCCACTTGAGCCTTCAAACTTCTAAATTTGATCATTGGACCCTCATCCTTCTGGCTCTTTGCATTCTCTCCATTTAATTATCAAACCTTCAATCATCAAAAATTTGAACATAAATAGAATTAACACTTATGAAATTACTTGTAAAAAAGCACAACTCCTAAGCCCATAATTCCACAAAAGCTAATGGTTAAACACACTTTAAATATACATTTTCATTCTTTCATCACAACCCCCAGCCAGCTTATTGCTAGTCTCTAGCAATTCAAGCGTGAATTAAAAAAAAAAAGCATGTTGATTAACTCAAATGGATATCTAACAAGACTACCTCGGTATTTGGAAAAAGATCACAGTTGCTATCAAGATTACTTCAATTATAACTTCCAAAAGTGTGTGTGAACTAAGCATAACCGTCACACCACGAACCACAACATATATAGCCTTGAGAATTAATCAAAGTAAAAGCCTCAACTCCATATCCTCACGCGATAGTAACTGTTTAAGGCAAAGGATTTCTCTCATGGAGTTGGAAAGCAGCAAGTCACTCAAAGGAAAAGGTCAAATTTAACAGACAATCAAACTAACAAACATTGACTAGAAGATAGGTTAATTAGCTATTCAAAATTCCACTACTCTTACTATAAACTAGCTTTAGGATTTCAATCAATCAAATATGAGAGCAATAAAAGTAGAGCCTAGTGAGAAAGATTGTTCCCTCAGAAGAAAAGAAAGTTTGTCCTCTAAACTGATGGAAGACTTTATTTTGTAGATTTTTTTTCCCATTTTTCTTTTCTTTTTTTTTTTCCTTTTTTGTGTTTTTTTTTT